AGACATTTCTGGTGCTCCCGACTCCGGCGGTTCTTTACCAACCACCACCTCACCACGACGATGCGCCATCTCGTTGTCGTAAAACGAGACCATGTCTTCGTAGACCTGTGGGCCTACCTTAGTAGCATAGCTACTCCCAACAAATTCTTCGGAAATCTGGCAGTATTCCTAGGCAATTGCACCCGGTGGACCTATTTCATTTGCTGTTTGCCCATATGCAGCATAGGAGTTGTATGCTTCATTTTTCTTTTTCATGGGACAATTTTTGGCGATGTGCCCTTCTTCTTTGCACTTAAAGCAACGAATGAAAGATTTCTTCCAAGGATTGTCTTCATTCGTCTTTCTCCTAGACTTTTCTCGATCACTCAAGCTTTCCCTATATTGAATGTTGTGGTAATTTTTCTTTGACTCAGTCCTCTTGGGCTTATCCACTTTGGTTGATTCTCCGATCCTGTCATAGTGATGAGAGATAAAATCTTGAATGAGGCTCTCCACCGACCAGTTTTGAAAGCGTGCTATTGTGGAAACCATGGCGTTCCATCCTCCAGCTTCTTCTTTGGTCGATTGCTTAAAGATTACTAAGATTTGCCTTTCATCCAAAGTCCCACCCGTGGACATGTAGTCCCTAACCACTGTCTTGAACTTCGTGACATACTCTACTGGACACCCTCCTGTATACTTGAGAGCGATGAGGTTTCCCCAAATGGCTTCTTGTTGTATCTCGCCAACTTGCCGATAGGTTCGTTCAAACAACCTCATCATTTCTGTGCCTCGTTTCATACCTATAACTAGGCTCCTAGTTTCTGCAGTTGTGGTTCGCTGAATAACAGCGGCGAGTCTCACCTCGTCCAACAGTGTCAATTTCATACTGACTTCGTACCCGATTCATTCTAGTTGCAATAACACCGCCTTTCGGTACATGACCAATTTCCAATTCCTCTTAGGAAATCCGACTGGGGTGGTTTCCAGTCAAAAAGATTCCATTCCAGCAAGGTTTTGCTTCCATTCCTTGATGCTGTTACGGCAGGCCTGTCCCATCCTGCACCTGCATCTTCGTCATTTGGTGAGGCTGTGTATTCACCATATCGATCCGACGGCCTTGAAAATGCAGCTTGCCCTGAAATCTTTTCGCAATATTTATCTTCGTCCCGATCCTTTCTTTCGGTGGATCGTTTATCTGAACTTTTTGTTCTTGGTGCAGACATCAGACATTCGCTGTAATTTTCGTTCGATGCAAAGTCGAACTCATTGCTGAAGTTGCCCGGCACACGACCAGAGCGACCAGCAACACTTTTACCCGACCGCTTCTTTTCCACAGCGGCCTCATTCAAATGGGTGCCTTGAGCAGCGATTTCCCGATCCGCCTTCGATAATCCAAAGGCCGACATTTCACAAGATTAAAATTCCTCTCCAAAATCGTCACAAACAATTCGTCCACGATTTAACAAAGCTCCAATTGAGTCTTCTACCGTTGAATTTTCGTTTGAATCAACCAAGAATAATGCTACCATGTAAAACTTAGAGAGGTCTTCGTGTGAATGTCACACGAAGACCTCTCTAAGTTTTACAATATATGTTGTAATCGTTATTGGCTCAATCTTGTATTAAAACTAAATCACTAAGGTTCTCTGTCAATGTTCAACCAGAAAGACCGCCCTTCTTATGTGTATGTATGCACGGACCACCTTGGATGCCTGCATAACTCCCAGTTCTTATTTATTACATGACTGCATAACTAGAGCTGACTGTACTTATATATGCATCCGCTCACATATATAAGTACTGTTGTGCCACGATTTCAAGTTTTCAGTGGATTTAAATGGGGCGCCCATTTCGACAGGGTACATAATTCTTGTCCTGGATTTCAAGGCCTAAACCAAGGGCACAATTTGATTTCATGCTACCCTCAGTTTTGTGCAAATCCAATCTGTTCTCTAATTCTTTGCCATCACTTTTAAGACCGCCGACCGCTAAATAATTACACAGTTCTTCTCATCTTGTGCTTGAGTGACAATAAGAATTAGATTTATCAAATACAAAGTTATTTATTCCGAAGACACATGGCTTTACTCGATACCGACCTTATTTTGCAGGTGAATCCGCCTCAAACCCCACCTTCTACACCTCGATTCAAAAAATTATTCAGAGATCAAAACATTTTAGCAAGTCGAGAAATTAAAAGAAATTTTAAGATTTATGGGCTCCATGAATCTGGCGAAAACCAGATGCAGATTTCTTTTTTGCATCAAATATTAATTGCGTATAGTTACGGCCTCGCCTCAACCTGGCCCTAGGTACAATAGCGTAATTACTTGTGGTACGTGCACGCTAGCATATAGTCCCTGTCCGCCTCTAGATACTCTCTCCTCATAGACAATCTACTTCTTTCATCTCTACATTAGAGCTGCCTTCCTGCCACTTCCTCTTCTCGTGAATCGTATGCAGCTATCTAGCTATGACACAATATCAAAGAAAAGTACAGAAAAGACGACTCAATTTACAAGAGGAGCACTCATGCCTCGGATTTCATTTGCAAGTACCACTGCGAAGTTATGCTGGCTTTTTCTTCACCCCAAGTCAACCCACATCCGCGAATACCCACTCAGGGAAACGTCTCAAAAACCCTGAGTTATCCAGACATGCCTCCATCATCATTCAACTTTTCTCCACGCGAAATGTGATTTGAGGTGTCTCTTTCCCAAGTGGAGTAGGTGCCCAGGCTACTCAAACCATACCAGAGAACACCACCAGGAGGCGGACCACAACATCTTCCATCGTTTGCTTGTTTTTAGTGTCAGCTGCACTCTCGCAAGCGAAGTCTTGGCGCGCACATAGCTCAATTTGTAAAACCCCTTGCCAAAATTCGGAATCTCACGCCCTTCGAGGTTACATCCTTTCTTTGCATCACCTTGTGAATTTGTCCTGATCTCTCTCACGTCCGTCCCAAAGAACTGTCTCCCAGATTTGAGCGCCACGCTTTGCTTCCTCCTGCGGGTGTAAATATCGGCGTGGGCGTGTAAATGGTGGTCAACTGAGACCAGAGAAGGTCGAGGAGTGGTGTGATCATTGGAATGAGGATGTACTAGGTCGTACATGCAGACTTGATGAGACTTAGGTAGGAGTCAAACTCGTTGGGAGTGAAAAAATGACGTGGAGGAGTAATTTGAATCATTGCCTTGTGGGCCAACTTCTTTGATATTGCGAAATTTGACTGAACTTGGCTCTGGGAGAATATTTCACTCCCAGGTTCGTAGAGGACACCGCGTACAGGTGTTCAGTCTTGCCCTCCACAGATGCAGATTGCCGCGCAACTAGGCATTACTCGGGGTCAAGCTAGTTATTCACTGCTCAGCGGAACTGTCTCCCCCAAAAAGAGAAATGAACATCCTCAAGACTGAAAGCACATGATGTTGATCAGGTTATATCTTACGTTGATTCTTCACCTGCAAACTGCCGCAAAAGATTTCTAGAATTCGCCCCTAGCCCCTTTAGATATCTTGGTGATAGCGAGCGAGTAATACAAAGAGAACTTCAAAATAAAGAGGACGTCAACGGTATGGTCTCGATGAGACTTTGACTTTCCGTAATGCAGGATAATGCTCCTGCTCACGCAGCAGTAAGTACGATGGAAGATATGAGTCAGAGGCTCACTCAATCGATTTTCTGGCCGGCCAACTAGCCTGATCGTAACCCGATTGAAGCTGTTTGGAAAAGAATGAAGGATTACATCCAGTGTCATCATCCGAATCTGGGATGTAGAAAGCAGCGAACTCAAGATAGTCTTCGCAAGATTGCAAAGGAGGCTTGGGATTCCGTGTCTTCCGAAGATCTTGTGAGACTCATTCAGAGTATGCCAGCAAGATGTCAGGCTATGATAGATGCGGATGGGGGACCAACCAGATATTAAGGCTTGAAAAATTTTCAGTCACATTTTCAGATCCAAGGTTAGGATAAGACTGTGGCTCTATTGTAATTCGAAAACCTTTGATCTCTTGTAAATAAGTTATAAAATCAAGTAGCAAAAATGCACAAATGTTATGCAGCCGATCATTATACCGATCAAGTTTAGTACGAATGAAAGACCCACTGCAATCTATGGTGTCCAGAAATAAACTGTCATACAGATTTTTTCGAAAATTTGCACAAATACGGAGGCTAACTCCAATATGAAAGGTGACTATGGCTAGGGCGTCTTAAATAACACGCTAAATACCCTGCCGAAGACCCTTTGCAAACTTGACACCGTACACCAAGGTATATTTGTACTTGATGTGCACCTCTCCGTCGCTGAGTCATCTTATTGCTGACTCAGCTAATACAACAAGCTCTACGTTTATAATGCTCTTAGATGAGATAAAAAGACATAATACATACCTCACTCTTGTACCTTTCATTTTACATTGAGCTAACCTTGCGTACACGTTCATGTAGGCCAACCGGCACTTCAAATTTTTTATTTTATATCACAAGGTCAAGGGATAAATGACGCTGATTTTATGCAAAAAAACTTTACTAAGGAGAAGATCATCTTTTGTGCAGTTCCTGAAATATTTTTAAGGCGCATTCGCGCGCCATCATTTTACGTCTCTGGTTAGGTGATCACATCGAAAGTTAGCTGATTCCTTAAAACACGTAGGACAAAAAAAATAATAGCGTCTGAGCGTATCAGTTTGAATTATTTTGTGCAATTCGTCAGTAAAAGTCGGTTCTTGTTGGGAACACACTCATTTTCAATTGTTCTAATGATTAAATTCAAAAGCGGATTAGTTTTTACCCTACGACCCATAGTTGAATAAAATATACACGCTTTAAGAAAGCTTTAATATGGGATAACCTCATCCAGATGAACACCAGATAGTAGATTTGAAGTTACGCTGTGGGAGATTCCAGGTATAATATATAACTAGTCTCTCAGCTCCCAAAAATTTCGGTAGGAATTAATGTCTGCCAAGAACAGTTTGACTAGTAAGTCGGAAGATTTTGTTATTTAAATTTAGACTTTATATATCTCTCTCGTCTCTTTCTCTCAAGTCTTCTGAGCGGAAGAGAACGGCATTACTATTTATTTGTTGGAAATCATTGTGGCTTTCTCGTCCATTGGCGTAGCTCCGAAAGTTCAGTTGACTGCCTATACCATTTTCATCATTGCCGCCGGCACTACCGTTACTACTATGCAAGCTTGTTTGGCTGCCACCCCATGTTCCTCTCCGTAATTTTACTAGAGATTCGAAGTTCATGTCAGTATCTAACTCATCTTTTCTTGCCACAAATTGCGATAGTCCAGGTCCAAATTTCTCCCTAGTCGAGCTAGGACTATGAATATTCTGTGACATGTAGGAATTACGGTTTGAGTACTCGCTGCGTTCAGTTATAGGAGTAAGATTTGGTTCGTGAGTTGCAACGCGCCCATTATGTCCTTTTTTATCTATGCTTTGAGAGCTGCCATTTCCGAAATAGCCCCCATGTCGATTTAGAGTATCTTTCTCTGGTGTTTCTGGTGCAGAATAGAATCCAAATTCTCGGCCATAAAACCCATCACAGTCATTCGCAAGGGCTTCGGCGTTAGCTGCTGCAATTATCGAATCATCATTTAGGTCATCATCAAACTCATAATCTACATCGCGCATGCAATAATCTTCATTAAAGCTATCTCCTAGTTCGAATCTCGATGAAAAAGAATTATCTGGAAGGGTCTGAAAATAGTTGCTGAACGAACTTGGATACGCATTTTCTATCTCTGACTTCTCTCTCTGGTTTTCACTGTCGTGGCAGAGTCCACCATCAATTGCTTCGGTATGTGCAGCGTTCTCGAGGGCCGACTGGTGGGCTGCTAACGAGTCTTGCGTGAGATGACTTAATTTTCCAGCAGCTTTCTTGTTTAGTATTAGGTTTGATACTTTTTCAGCGGATTGTCGGCCTAGATCTAGGGAAGCCGAGGATGTGGAGTGAAAATTGGAGCAGCTTTCTGATGCTTCATTTGTAGTGTGAGTTTTAACGGCTAAATCAGTTCTAGGCGTTGGAAATGATATTGGTGAACTTAGTGATACAAGAGGTCTTCCATAATCGTCGGTATCTTTTTTGTCAAATACTGATTCATCGAAATCTGTTTCATCAGGAAGGTTCTCGGGGATCTCTATTAATCCATCGTCATAGTAAAAACTTTCATCAAATGTTGCCAAATATACCCCGTTTTTTGTCTTCTGTGATCCTACGGATTGTTGTCTTGATTCGAAGTCATTAACATGTAAATCATTTCCTGCTTCCTCTGGATTGTATGACGTTAAAGTTTCAGCTTCTTCGAAGTTTGCCAGGTTTGTGCAGTCATATAGTGTACTGGATGAGTCCTGTATATATTTTGATTCATAATGAGGTTTACGGTTATCTACTGCGATCATTACAGATTCAGAACTAGCGAAATTTTATAAATTAGCTTTTCAGTATGATAATATATTGAGACATTTTATTTTTCCTTACCTAGAATTATTCTTACATCGAATTTCCATCTTTTGAAAATTTTCTAACAATACTTTATCTGCTACAGATGTATTTTCTAGATTGATGTTGTTATTAGGTTGTTGTAGCATTCCATCACAACTGGATGTGGATTCAAGTAAAGATTCTTGTCTGTAGTTATCTGTCTGTTCACCTTCTGGCGGCTCGTCGGGTTCGGTGTCGCCACTTTTTTTGGGATCAATATCTTGCCTATCTGCGAGCTTTTCATCTTCGATGGATACTACTCCAATGTTAAGGCCGAGAACAGACGAAACACTGTTCATCTTTTTTGGAATGCGAGAAATTTCAAAGGGTACGTTAGTTTCTTCTTGTTTCCGAGTAATTTCTTGAGCTGACGCCGATACTACATTATCTGATATATTTAGTGAGTAGGTAGGAATATTGCCACAGTTTTTCTGGATAAAATCGTAATTGGAGTACTTTTTAGTTTTCGGATCACCCATGATCGTGTAAGAATTGGGATTTTCTTGTTCACCTCTGGATGGCTCTGATAATAAACTGCTTTCTCTTCCTGCTTCTAAGCAGTATTGAGGGCTGACGAGCGTATTATTCATTGAGGCACTGGTTTCAGGCAAAATATAGTCATGTGCAGAGAACTGGCTTTCAAAGGTCTGTGAAGTACATTCGATTGCATCCCAAAAATCTTTTGAAGATTTACTACTAGGAGGGTCTTTATAACGATTGTGATTGTATTGAGAGCTAGGCTTTGGACTTTGAGGGCGCTCTGGGGATCGACGACCAGTGAATCTATTAGAGTTCTGTATAGTGTTAAAATCGTGTACGAGTAATTCTTCTGGATGTAGTTCAAAAAATTGGTCTACACCCTTTAGTCTCGTGAAATTTTTTGTAGTATTCTGTGAGACTTGTGCCGTCGAGGGGTGGATTTTTCGCCGGGTTAGAAGCGACATGGGATTTAAAAGATTGAGTTTGGATTTTCCCGATCGTGTATTGGACAACTCTCCAGACTGCTCCGCCACAAGAGACAAACTTAACTTTGCTTGTCGTCCTATCGACTCTACGGCCTGATGTAGAGGGTAATTATAGCTTGGGACATTCTGTTCCTCTCGTGATACCTCAACCCTGTCTCCGCCAAAATCTGGTGTTGAAACCTTTGGATCAGCTATTGATTTTGCCATTATTTTATTTGAGGGAGTGCCTTCCATGGTTCCTTGATTATTGTCACGGGTATTTAGAACGGGAGGCCACACTATCTGGCAGCTAGATTTTTCCGTAACCTTCAATGGTATTACATGAGCGAAAGCTGTAAAAATAGGGGAACGTGAGAGTTTGAGATCACCGATTAAGATACTGATTCGGAATGAGGAGAATGAGCCTAGTGCTAATGGCGATGAGGAGTGGATAGGAAAATTAGATACTATTCTGACAAGTTGTCGTGATAGGAGGGGAGCGCGTGTGAAGTCGGAGATAAGAAAACATGTTATAACGCTTAATTTAAAAAAACGTCTAGGGCATCATATTGAGTATCTTAGAGCACATGAATTGTACGAACTTTAGAGTTGCTAAGTGATAACCACATAGTTGTCCTATTCCAAGCCATCGAACGAACACTACGCGTAGGCAGGTTTGTAAATTTTACCTTTGTAGCTAAGTCAGCAAGAGAAGAAACGATACATTGAGATATTATCAGGGACTAACCTTTGAGATGTGGAAATAACCTTTCATCGAAATTTGGCTTTGCAGGGGAAGTGAGGGGAGGGGAACGACAAAAGAAACGATGGCAATTAGTCCTATCGTTGTGATTTGTAGCGCGGGTAAACCCACCAAACCGCGCATTAATGGGAACTGGTATGCTCGTCATTAATGAATGATATCAACTTAGAGAAGCTTGTCTGAGTCATGGTTCAGGGGTTTAGATGAAATTCGAATAGGACAGCTCGTTTCCATAGATCTTATGACCATCCTATCAAAGTTACATCTCCATATCAGGGATGACAAAGGGATAAGCAGTCCAGATGTAAGTCTCCTCTCATAGTGTATTAGCGCGAGGGGTGATCACGACACCTCCTTTCTGTGCGAAGCTCTAAGTGCTGACTTCTGACGTTTGTGATGCGTATATGTTGCACGGCATCGTGTTTCATCGCTTGATTTTACTGACTAGCGCTGAGCGGGACCGTCATCCCAATTGATTGGCAATACATTCTGCGATAGAATCAACATGTTCCACGTGAAATTGGACTGTTAAACGATATCAGAGTACCAAATCAAGCGTATACGTGCGTCAAGGGAAAGACACCATGGCCTATGATTACATTTACGATTACAATAATATGTAAATAGTAAAAGATTCTAAGTATTATGAGGGGAGGTAGACGCACAACGAGCACATAATGAGGGTTTAGAAGGCTTTGGAAAATGAATCAGAGGAACAAGAATAAGCAACAATCAGCATTATCCTCTTCGAACCTGGGTGTTGAGCATTCTATCAGCTGAGTTTCACGCAAAATTATTAACTCAAAGTACGTTAATCCATTAGGCAATCATGCCAGGCTTGTGATCACAAGAGTTCTCCGCTCCCAACATGATCAAATAAGAGCGAGTCCTTTTTCGCTGAGGAAACAACATCAAATAAACACTTTTTCCAAAAGGCAAGACGAATGCCTGTATGCCATGTCCTATACGAAGCCAGGAGTGATATGTCCTCCAGAGCAAAGTTCAGTAAAATTTCTCAGTATGCTAGATAGTCTAAAACTCAAGTAGTACAATAAACACACCTCTCTCTCATTCAAATTTCGCTATATCGAAGGAGTTGGCCCACGAGGCAATGATTCAAATTACTCCACCACGTCAAATTTTCACTCCCAACAAGATCGGTTCCAAACCAAGTCTCATTAAGTCTACAAGTACGACCAAGTATGTCCTCATCCCAATGACCACACCTCTCGTCGATTTTCTCTGGCCTTCGTTGACCACCAAATACACGCGCACGCCGATATATACACTCGACGCAGGAAGCAAAGCGTAGCGCACAAATGTGAGAGACGGTTCTTTGGCATGGACGTGGGAGAAATCTGAACAAGTCTATAAGATGACACAGAGGATGGAGACTATCTCGGCGGGTGTAAGATCTTGATTTTTGGAAAAGAAGATGGCACGTTAAGCTTGATATACCATGTGACCTCGGTTGCGAGAGTGCAACTGACACCGTCACCACAAGCAATCGATGGAAGATGCCGTGGTCGGCCTCCTGGTGGTGTTCTCTGATACAGTTTGAGTAGGCTGGGCACCTACTCCACTTGTAAAGGAGACATCTTAGACCACACCTGGCGTGGAGAAAAGTTAATGGATGACTGATGCATTTTTGGATAACTCAGGGTTTTTGAAACGTTCCCCTGGGTGGGTATTCACGGATGAGGGTTGACTTGGGGTGAAGAAAAAGCTACCATAACTTCGCAGTGGTACTTGCAAATGAAATCTGAGGCATGAGTGCTCTTCTTATATATTGAGTCATCTGTTCTGCACTTTTTGTCCGCTATAATGTCGTAGCTAGATAGCTGCATACGCAATTAAAATTTGATGTAAAAAAAACACTTTTTCCAAGGAACAAAAAACTTTTCGTCTCACTTTCTGCCTTCACTTGACCCAAAAATATTGGTCTGTGACAGCAACAAAACTCACCGGCTGCCTTGACTCGCTGTTTAGAATATTGACGATATGGATCCTCGGGAGGAGGTGTCAATGAGAATTTTCAGACTGAAAAGAAGTCAAGCCAGAGATAAATTTCATACATAAAGGGCATTGGTTCTACTTTGGGAAGAGATGGTTAGTCTTCAAGAACATTTTTCGCCCCAATATTTTGATCGCTAACTTTTGTCAACTCCGAAAATGCAGTTATTAAGGAATCATGTAGACGCAAACTATCTAGACCTGATTCTCGAACGTATTCTAGATAACCTAGACATCTACTTACTTGAAATGAAAGATCGCTTACATAATTTTACAAGACTTTATCGCAATGATTGTGGTATCTTAGTGAAAGATATGCTATGCGCATGTCAGGGTAGCCAGGCACATTCAACCTTCCCTTTGATGAGACACACCAGTGAGCAAAGGCTGAAGGTCACTAATGAAAGCCAATCAAAAAATACTCGCTTGTCTAGACCAATACCTGTAATACTGGGGGACAAGACTGAACACCTACATGCTGTGTCATCTACCAACCTGGGAGTGAAATATTCTCCCAGAGCCTAGTTCGGTCAAATTTCGCAATACCGAACAAGTTAGCGCACGAGGCAATGATCCAAGACTCTCCACCCGATAAATTTTTTCCACTCCCAACGAGATCGATCCCCACCAACACCTCATCAAGTTTGCAGGTACGACTTAGATCATCCTCCTTTCAATGACCACACCTCTCTTGGACCTTCTCTGGCCTCCACTGACCACCAAATACACGCCCACACCCATATTTGCACCCGACGGAGGAAGCAAAGCGTGGCGCACAAATCTGGAAGACAGTTCTTTAAAATTGAAGTGAGAGGATTCAGGACAAGTTAACAAGATGATGCGACGGATGGATACAGTCTCGACGGGCGTGGAATTTTGGCAAGGTGTTTTTACAAATTGAGCTTTGTGCGTGCCAAGACTTCAGTTTCGAGAGTGCAGGCGACACTATAAACACCGCCATGGTTGGATGGTGCGGTGGTCTTTCGTATTTGCCGGTCTGCCAAGTAGAGTCTGGATAGCTTGGATACATATCCCACATGAAACAGAAGATCGCTGACTTAAATCCGGCAAAATACAACCACAATTCTCGCGGCGCTGGTATGCATGGATGACGAAGGCGTGCATGGATAACCAAAGGTTACGAAATTCCCTTTGATGGGTACTTACGGAGTAGGGTTCACTGTTTGTGTAAGTAAGCATACCTCATAGTGGTGTTTGCGAATGAAATCCAGAGTATGAGTGTCTCTAACTCCAAAAGAGTCAATCCACATGTATACATAGCACCGGTCATGTGTCATAGCTAGGTAGCTGCATACACATTAAATGATTTAAAAAAAATACCTGCAATTGTCACGGCTATGTAGTACATCATCTGTATTAAATAACAGGCGAAGGAGCCAGATCAATGTGTAATGCACAATCAGGTTCAAGCAGCAATAGTACTGATCGTACAGCACCAATAAAAATTTTTCATATGACGTTATCAGCTACGTATGAACCTTAAAGTCGACCGATTATTTCAATTTGAGAAAACATCCGAGTCGGGGCTTGATTTGATGTAAATCTATATTCATTCAATGTCCTAGTTTAACGTCCAATGCGGTATCTATATACAGAACCATGAAGACGGTAAGCCATGTTAAGATGGGAAAAGCTTTCAACGAACAAAACCCGATGTCCTGCCACTCTGAACCGACCCGGCTTAATGCGGAGGACGTTCCTATCAACCATAATTTTATAAATTTCCCCAGAATTCGTTAACTCCCCTCTAATCAGACTAACGTTATGAAAAATTGAAAAGAGAGGGCACCTCCTTACTCGGCGTTGGTCTTCGAAGTGTTCGAAGAGTTGGCCCCGATGGTGGTGCTGCTGTCGAGGCTATGGTTGGAGCCACTGGGGCTTCGACTACCTTGCGTGGTCGTCCCGGCCCTCTTTTGAGTCCTTCAGCCTTTTTACTGGTGACCAAAGTTGATCCCTGATCATCAGTCGTTCTGACTGTTCGCATTGGCGCCATGGTAGGTTTTTCGTTCCATATATCTGCCGTTCTCTGTAATAGTTCCATGCGAGCTTTCTCCACACTTCCCTTGTAGACCTGGTAGGTCCGACACGCTGCTTTCTGCCACGAACGGTGCTCCTTGCCGCAGCTCGCACAAAAAACCCTTTTCCTAGGAAAGTCCTGAGTTTGGTGAGCACCTGCGCACTCACCGCACGACGCTTGTGTGTGTCCCCACTGGCTGCAGTTGTAACACTGCTTTGGCTGGGCTCGTGGTGACCACACCTGCGCGGTGAAGAGCGTGGCATTAATGACAAGGCCATTTCGAACTACCTCCGTTTGCATTGCCTCTGATAGGAGGCTGACCACAATTGATCCTCGATTGCGACCGTTTTTCTTCGATCGCTGGTGCTCCTTTCCATCATGTAGCCACCTGATTCGATTAACCACCAGGCCAGGAATTCGAGCCTTAGATGATATCTCAAT